TAGGGAGCCTGTAAAAAACAAGGTGACACTGTTTCCTCACAGACTTCAACCTTCTCTTGTAAACCCAACTCCTCCTTTGGGTTCATTTAATAGAATCCAGGTTTATTACACATAGAATGAAGTGGTTCACCCATCACTCAGGCCCTCCAAATATCATATCCTTCCCAGAAAAAAACAGGATAAATTTAGTAAGTTAACAGCATTAATTTGGCATTTTTCTTCCAGACTTAGGAAGTCACAGCAAAGAGTTAGACAAGATCAACACGTTTCATTCTCAGGTTTGTTAGAAGGTTTTTTTTTTGTTTCCAAGATGTCTCTGGCTTGCTGGTACATTTAGATGTACTTTTTTTTTTTTTTGAGTATTGGAATGTGATTATCAAGTGAGTGGTCAAATATTTTGACTAGCAACTAAATTTTGTGCATCAATGGTGCAATACTAAGACTAAAAGCATTCTGCAAGTTATTTGCCATTTCTACCACATGGACAGTGTGATAAAAGGGCACAAAGCCCCCTCAAGATAAAGTGATGTTGTATGTAACTTGTTCAATGTTCTCTTAACATGTTTTGTAATAAAAAGAAAAAAAAAGTTCTAATATCACATCAGTGTATTGAGAGATCTGTTCTTTGTGTTGGTTTGGGCAGAGTGGGAACGGGAGATCCAAAAGCAGATTCCTGCTGGGCTCTTTCAAATTTAAGGCCATCAGGGAAATTTTTTCCTGGGGTGGGGAGGAAAAACCTCAGAGTTGCAGCCACTCCTGCTAATTCTACAACAGTTAAGAAGAAATCCAAAGTATAACCTGGAGCAGGAATGTGGCAGCACCAACTCACCTGCTAGGAGTGATTACTGTGCCAAGGAACTACCCTGGAAACAAATACAGGTGTTAAAAGTCCTTGGAAAGACCCAGAAATCCAAGGAAAAGTGTCTTTTGGGGTTTTTTTTTGTTTTTTTCTTTGTTATTTATACAGCTCTAGGGTTTTCATTACGGAGCTGGAGGAGCTTTTAGATTATTCAACACAAACAGACATCTGCCAAAGAAGATCTAGAGCAGTTCAAAGCAGGAATTAAAGCAAAGCTTCCTTCCTTTAGACTTCCACAAGGGTTGTGAGCATTTTAAAGAGGTTTAAGCTTCAGCTTAATTGCAAGTGAAAATCCTGAGCATTAGTAAACACAGTCGATGGCACAGCAAAGCATGACAATATTAATGGAATCCAGGGGAATAATCCTGCACACAAAGAATTGTTCTCCCTTACAGATACTTCTTTTTTTTTCAGCTGGACTACAACTGCAGGAAAAGATACTTTTTAGTAGAAGCAAAATCATAACTTTTCTTCTGCCTTCCCCTTGTTAAATAMCCCCAGTGAATTTAGGGGGAAAGGGCTGTAAAGTGACAAGAGGAGGAAATTTAATGTATGAATTCTAAAAAAAAAAGAAAAAGCTAGAAAATAAAGCGAACTTACACCGTGATCAAGAGCGTAATTAGCATCTGTCACAAAGGTGACGGGTCTGGAGGGGTCAAGAGCTTTAGTGTGAGCTATCACTGTCCTGTTTGCAAACAGTAAAGCAAGAGTTCAACACCAGCACCAAGAAGCACAGCTCCCTCTCCCCAGGCTCTCTGGCCTTCCACCCCCCAGGCTGAGCTGCTTTGGATTCAGCAGACAGGATTTTTAATTAAATAAAGAGAATATCTGCTATGCCACCTGAAAAACAGCAGAGTGGGAGCTCACCCAAGCACAGGCACATTTGGTGGTGCCAGCAGCTTAGAAGTTGAAGGGACAGTTGAGTTTGAGGACAAAACTGTGAAAAAAGGATAATGGGAAGTTTCTGAACAACTCATGGGGTGTGTTCCTGAGGCCCTGGGCCACAGCAGGCAGAGGCTGGATGATTTTGAGGAACAGAGTGAGGGAGATGGGACAGAAGGGGAGAGTCAAGCTCTGCTGCTGCCTTGACAACGCAGGAGGCGGTGGAACATTTGGAAAAGTCAAACTTTTGGAACATTGGGAGAAGTCAACCCTCCAGCTACCAGGTTCAGTGTGCTGCCCCTTTATTCAGCTGCCTCTGGGCTATCCAAAGCTTAAATCCCCTTCAAAATAAAACCAAGGGGTCTGCAGGGACTCCAAGCAGTGGCTTTGAAGAGCCACTTCCCAATGAGTCACAATGTCCCACAGAACAAAAAACCAGCACTGACTGCAGAACCACATCTTCAGAATTAAAGACCAATTATTCTACAGCTTTGCTGTAATTCTCAAGGAATTTAACACTCATCTGCCAGTGGTAACAAGGAATAACCTGTTCCCACCAGCTCTGATTTGACTTTGTTCAAGAAGAGATGCTCAAACCAAACGGATTCCTGGTAATTTTGTGCAGCCTTAGTGGTTCAAAACCAACAGGTTGGAGACAGTTGGGCAGTTGTGAGCATCAGTTCGACACATGCAGCAGTTACATTTCAGTTTGCATCTGCAGGTGCACTTCCAGGGTTCCCAAAAAATGCCTGCCCCTCCTTTTACTACTCCTCTGTGCCATCCCAAAGGAAGAAGAGGCACCAACTGCTGAGAGATAATGAGCAGATTCGCTTACTTGAAGTAGTGAGCTGCTGGGGGCAGCTCGGACGCCGGCTCGTTGGCCACTGACCACATCACCACCGAGGGCCTGTTCTTATCCCTGCGGATCAACTCCTCCATCACAGCCAGGTGATGCTGCAGGGACTTGTTGCCAAAGCTCTCCCTGGAAGACAGAAGGAGGTGAGACCTGGTGAGGGTGTCAAATCCATCCCCTCTGCCTTTCCCTCGGGAAACTCAGCCTCTATGAGCACAGCAGAGCCTTGATGCTGAGTTCTGCCCTATTTCCCCAAAGTTTGCTGCACAGTTCAGGGCTGTGGTTTGGGCTGGTTGACTGAGCCATGTGGCAAAATGTGGCAAAAAGCCCTCTGATTGCCCAACATCACCAGGAAATGGTGGCGCAACAGGAGATTTCCAAACAGAGCAAAGTATTCTCGTTACCGGGACAACGGGTGGGACAGTGAGGACAAAAGTGTCAAAAGGGTAATGGGACACTTGGAAAGAGCTCAGAGAGGAGCAGAGGAGCCAGGGGCAGGGTGTGCTGGGCAGCTCTTACGGCAGTTTGATGCCCACCCCCGGGCTCTCGTCGATGACCACGATGCCGTAGGCGTCGCACAGGTCCATGATCTCCTCRGCGTAGGGGTAGTGGCTGGTGCGGAACGAGTTGGCCCCCAGCCAGCGCAGCAGGTTGAAGTCCTTCACAATCAGGGGCCAGTCCAGGCCTTTGCCACGGATCTGGAGGGGAGAGAAATCATTCCTTGTGAGGCACAACTTCCCTGCTTGATCCATCCCCRGCCCYGRAGCTGCCCTGTGACTGGCACTGCCTCGGGTGGGGAACCTGGGAGCCACTGTCACACTCAGGGGTTTGGGTTGGAAGGGACCTTAAAGCTCATCTYGTTCCACCCCCYATGGGCAGGGACACCTTCCAYTAGCCCAGGCTGCTCCAAGCCCYGTCCATCCTGGYTTTGGATGAGCCAGGGATGAGGCAGCCACAGCTTCTCTGGGCAATCTGTGCCAGGGCCTSCCCACCCTCCCATCAGGACTGACTGTCACCATCAGTGGCTGGGAGATGTTTCAGTGCCTCCACCAGCACATCCATGTGCCCTGAGGTATATCAGGACCATGGCAGGACCGGGCATGGCGTCCCCTTAGTGCTTAGCCTGGGAGGAGAGCGTGAGGAAACAGCCCCTTGGAGAGGAGAGGGGAGCCCAGGTGACACCTCAGCCGTGTGAGCTGAGATGCCACTGGGTGTCCCTGCCATGGGTGCCACACTCACATCTGCATCCTCGTGCTTGTTGACCCCGTGGAAGTAGAAGGGCCTCCCGTTGATGAGGAACTGGGTGCTGGTGACGTGGACGGTGCGGATGCCCACGGGCAGTGTGTAAATGTCCTCCAGCAGCGCCCCGGCCACCTGCGCCTGCATCTTCACCTGTGCCCAAGGAGGAAAGGAAGGGATCCTCACCAGGATGCCCAGCGTTCCCTCCCCTGTCTGTGAGGGTTCTTTTGGCCCCCCAGCCCCTTCCCAGCCCTGCCTTGGCACACAGCCTGTTCCTCCCTGCTCAGGGGGAACCAGGGCTGACTGAACAGGAAAAAAAAATCCAGGCTGTGGAAGCTGAAGGATGAAGAATGAGCCCCTGGATGACCCTTTTGGCATTTGCTCATCSCAAGAACTTCAGTGTCTTTTCCCCATGACATCCCCCTAGGCCAGACCATTTCCATGCCCTGGTTGATGCCAGGCAGTGACTGACACACATCACCTGCTCCCAGGTGTGAACCTGAGCCCCTGGAAACTCAGAGCAGCTCATCCTCCCTCATTTCTACAKCTGATCCTTAACTCTCACAGAACTGCCAGGCTTGAACTGCTGAACTCATCATCTCCTCGGAGGGGACAGGTTGGACCCTCAGTGTGGAGGGTACAGAGCATGCACAGGCACCCAGGAATGTGCCAGACCCTTCAGTTCAGCACCCAGAAAGCTGCCAGGCTTCATTTAATTAGTGCCTAATTAGCAGTGCCACTCTGCTCACATGCACAGGACCCAGGAGAGGAGGAAACAGAGGATGGGCCACATGGCAGTGCTTTAACCCTATTAAAGAGTCAGAACAGGAAATGCCCCTTTACCTCCAAGGAGTACAGGTATCCAGGGTTCTCGTGCATCAGATAGGGCCACCAGAGGTTTGGGTTGAGGACTTTGAGCTCTCCCACCGGGCCATCACCTGTGGCAACCTCTTTCCCCTCCTGGTCACGTAAACTCAGCGACAAGGAATAGGCTGTGCTGCCGACCACTGACACCTGATACTGCACCATGGCTGGTTCAGGGGAAACAAAAAATAATCAGAGACAGCATCACACTCAAGAAAAAGCCACTAAGAAATAAAATCAATCAGWTTTTTTTAGAATATTTTCCTTGCTGGCCTCCATTTGGAGGCTGCTGTGATCATTCTAGACCTACCAATGCTCTCTGATGACGTRGTTGTCACAGTGATGTCATCTATGTAGGCAGCAGGGGTGGTGTAAAGCACAACGGGGCGGTGGATCCCGGCATAATTAAAGAAATCAAACTTGATGTTCTGCACAAAGTAGTTCTTGGGGTACCTGAGTGAGCAAGACAGGAGAAATGGCTACGTTACACTTCACCACACAAGAACTGGAGGCAGAATGTGGATGCTGACAGGGCAAAATAATCCTGTGAAATAGTCTTTGCTACAGGCTGGATCTGTCTTTCAGCTGCTACACTGAAGGATTCTGCAAACAACAAACATCTGATGCCCACAGAGTTTCATCCTTCAGGAGGGCTGGTACTTGCAGTTTCCARCTGAAGCCAAGCTTCTCAAACCTGCCATTGATTTAATTTGACAAATCACCCAATCTGAGCTCCCAGTGCCCAAAACAGAGTGYAAAATAGTACAAAACTCAGTGCTGATTCCTCAAAACACCAAAGCTTTAACTCCTCGCCGCTCCACCGATGAATTTTGGCACAAAGACAACCCCGTGGAGGGGTTTATGAACCAGCAGCTGGATAAATTCCCACTCTYCYACCCCTGGGATCAGGCCAGCAGTAMAACAGCCTCCAGAACTCACCTTGTTTTGTCAGTCATGTACTGGATGGAGCCCGGGGGCAGCGTGTGGGGGGTCAGGGTGTTGTTGAGGGCGACGGTGATGCGGCACAGGGCTCCCGGGCTGCTCTGCACCACACTGCTGATGTCAGCCTCGAAGGGCAGGTGCCCCCCTTCGTGCTCCACCACCTGCACCCCGTTCACCCACTGCGAGAAAAGACCCCMAAAAAATGGGTTATTGGGATTTTGGGGCGAGCAGAGCGTGGGGAAGGGAAGCCCAGTTACAAGGACACTTGGGCTCTTGATCTTTGAAGGATTTTTGATCTTTGAGGGATCAGTCTTGATCTTTGAGGGATCAGTCTTGATCTTTGAGGAATCTTTGAGGGATCAATCTTAATCTTTCAGGGATCTTTGAGGGATCAATATTAACCTTTCAGGGATTAATCTTAATCTTTGAGGGTTCTTCCTTTGCTGGGAGTTAGGTCTGGGGTCACAGACAAGTGTCACTGAGAGACACAGTTAGAGGCAGATCCATTAATCAGGAAAYCTTTAGTTACTAATCTCAAAACTGCAGGATCAGAGAGGAGAAACTGGAAATCATTCTTGCTGAGAATGATTTCCTTGCTGGGGGATGATTTTCCTTGAGAATGATTTCCTTGCTTGGGGGATAATTTTCCTTGAGAATTATTTTCTTTGCTGGGGGAAAACGGGTTAATTAAACAGCAAAGGGATGCAAAATCGATGCAGGGATGCGTTTGCTGGTCAAACCATAAAAATGGCTTTAGTCCAGCCTAATTTTGGGAGCTCAGGGACAAAATCCCCAGGCTCTTACCACGATGGAGTAGTAATGGGCGCTGCCGAAGCGCAGCACCACCCTGGGGGCGGGATCGCCCTGCAGCCAGCGCAGGGGGAGCAGCACCTCCTTGTCGTACCACACCCAGCCGATGTAATTCTCCAGGCTGGGGTCCTGCGTGATGTCGTTGAAGCTGGCAGGCACWGGCATGTCAATCACGGGGCCGGTCTGGCAGGAATTCCATGGAAAGGGAAGAAACAGAGCATTTAAAAAGTGRCTTTTTACTGTCTTGGCTGCTGGAGGTGTCCCCTTCCACTGACAGCCTTTGCCACGGGGAAATACTYGGGAAAAGCTGTTTAAAAACCGGTGAGATCTCTCACAGCTCCTATAAAATTAGTGCCATACATAGGAACCTGAGTTTTCCTACAGGAAGCAGCTGCTCCTTTCTTTTCCCCTCCTGCTGTGCAACGAAACGCTTTTACTAATGGCTCTGCCACCATGGAATCAGAKAAGTGAGGGGGAAAAAAAACCCAGCCCAGGTTGTTGTTTCAGCTTGGGGCTTCCCAAAGCTGGGAATTTCCTCCTGCACAGCTCCAGAGAGGGGGTTGTGGTGCTGTTTGCTGAGAGCTGTAGTAAAAGGGTAATGAAAGTTATGGATATTTTGGGCAGTAATTGATATTTTGGGCCAGTAATGGGTATTTTGGGATGTTTTTCTCCCCGTGGAGACTGTTTGGGATGAGTTCAGCCTTTCTCACTGCTCAAAAGCAGCAGAGATTCCTTGGGATTACAACAAAATCCATTCAGTCTCTTATTCCAATATAAGGATTAGAGGGAAGCAGAGCCACAATACATTGAATATTGAGGTACCCAAGTGCTTTTCCCAAGCAGAGCCGTTCATTTTCAGCGCTTTCTGCACTCAGGGTGTTGCACAAAGGGGTTCTGCAGCTTCCCTTTTTCCCGAGAAAGCCTCAGGAAACAGAATGAGGAAGTTCTGGATACCATGTGCGTGGCTGACTCAGCACTGACACTGCAGAGAGATCAGAAAATCCTAGTGAGAAAACCCTTGGATAAGGAAGAGAATTTTCCAGTGTCTGATGCAGGAAAACCCTTCCATGAGCTGGCCAGAACCTGTGTGTCCTTCAAGGAGATTCTGTGAGGTCTAAAGCAGAGAATGCACTCAYTTAAGTCTCCCTTTGGTGGGGAGTATTTCAGGATTCCTCTCCCTGGCAAAACTTCCAGCAGCACAATGTCCTTGATAAATTCCCAGCTCTTCTCTCCTTGCACAAATCGGCAACAAAATCRCTCAGAACGTTAAAAATAGAAATAATGAACGACTTATCCATTTTATGCATAGAATGAATAACTCTTTTCTGCCAGGTAATGTAGTAATTTCCAAGCAAACCTCAGTCACACCAAAAACTCGTCTACCAGCGCTCTGAAACTTTGGAATAAATAACTCCCAGCGCCTTTTCCAGGCGCGTTTTTGCTGATTCTGTGCTGCTGGAAGCTCGGCGCTGTATGCAAAGCTCCTGCAGGACCGAGAACGGAGTTCATTCAAACAGAGCCTGCCTTCGGAGCGGCACCGCGACCACCGGGGGATCATCAATGGGATCATTAGAAGCTGCTAATTAGGAACTGCCTCAAGAACAACCCGGGCACCACAGTGGGGTAAAGGGCAGCCCGGTGGGGAAGGAGGCAGGGAAAGAGGAAGGGAAGGAAGGAGAGAGGAAGAAAGCAAGCAGCGGTGCCCGGGCAGCGGGACCGAGCCCGGCCCGGAGCGCACCCCGCGCCCGGCGATGGCAGCGCCCGCCCCGCTCCCCGCTACCTGCCGGAGCGGCCGCCGGTACCAGCGCTGCGCGAAGCCCGCGTCCCTGCCCGGAGACAGATCGGCGCGGAAGCTCCAGAGGCCGCCGAGCTCCCTGCGTTCGCGGGACGGCGTGTCCCGGGGCTGCAGCATSCCGGCGGGAGCGGCCGGGAGCAGCCGGAGGAGAAGGAGCAGCGGCAGCAGCGGGAGCGAACCGGCCCCGCCACCGCCTGAGGCCGCCGCCGCCATCTTGGCAGGGGGCAGAGCCCGCTGAGGGGAGGAGCGGGCCGGGCTGAGGGCGGGGGCTGAGACAGAGCCCGGTCCCTTATCGCGGTCCCGATCCCCATCCCTATCTCCAATCCCATTCCATCCCGGCCCCGATGCTCATCCCGATCGCGATCCGGTTCCAATCGCGGTCCTGGTCCCAGTCGTCCCAATCCCGCCCCGCCGGGCCGTCAGGGACCGGGTCCTGTCCCACAGTCGCCTCCGGACAAAGCTACGAGTGTCCTGCTCTAAAGGCGCTTCCAGGAGTCAGGATGTGCCCGGGATTGGTGGATTTCCTCAGGCGGCGAGTGATTTTCTTTGGCTTCCTTTCTCCTCTCCTCTCCCTCTCCTCTCCCTCTCCTTTC